TTAGAGTTAAAGGTAGTACAAGATAGATGACCTCCTTCCTCAGACTCTGCATTAAAGCAAAAACTACTTGCTACTATTGGAACTTAAGAAAGAAAAGCTCTGTCTCCAGGGCATTTTAAAAAATTGAACAACTGTGTTTCTTTGTAGGTCTTTGGAGAATTGTTAGAACACATTGTATGAATTGAAGTAACTGCTGACAGAATTTTGAAAAGTATTGCTTACCTTGTAATAAGCTCAAATATCCATCATGCCTCATTGTTCTGTTTACATGTTAAGACAGATTCCGCTGATTAAATTCTGCCCTATATACACTGTAGACACTGAGCCATAAGCCTAAGGCCTTAAAATGTTATTGAACAGAATTTCAGCTCAGATCAGTTACAAAATGCTCTGAGGCGCGGCTTTTATAGATTGATGATTTCCTTTTACGAAGTATGCTGCTTATGCTGCACGTCTCTGGTGGTTTTAAGAAATGTAAGCTGGCTTTTTGGGAGGATGCATCCTTGAGTAGGAAAATGTCTTAAATTGATTTTCCGTAACTATTTCAGTCGGCACTTAGAATTGCTCTTAGGTACCTAGTGCCATTACACTCTTATGGTCAATAACACTCCCTTTTTTTTGTGGCTTACTTAACAAAATAAAAAAGCTTTCTGTCCATTATTATTTTATCTATATTATGTATATTTTATCTCTGATCCAGCAGAATGCCAGATACCCGGTAGATTTTCAGTGGATGATTATTTGAACAGCGAAAGATAAGGACATAACCCAGTCAGTCCAAGACTCACTCCTTGTCTTCACTTCAGACTCAGCTTAAAATGCAACATTCAGAGAGGCCTCTAAGACCACCCTCCCTAAATAGCAGCCCTACATGGCTCTCTTCTCAAACTCTGCTTTATTCTTCAAAGCACTTTTCTCTCACCGTCTGAGACTCTCTCATGGGAATGCAAATGCCATAAAAGCAGAAATTTTATTCTGTTCATTTTTGTATTCATTCCCAGAGCCTAGCACATAGTAGGCACTCAGATTTTTCTGAAGGTATACTGAAGGTTAGAAGTTTGTACCAGGCCTGGGTGTGGTGGCTCACACCTGTAATCCTAGCACTCTGGAAGGCTGAGGTTGGGAGGATCGCTCAAGATTAGGAGTTGTAAACCAGCTTGAGCAAGAGCGAGACCCCTATCTCTACTAAAAATAGAAAGAAATTAATTAGCCCAACTAAAAATATATAGAAAAAATTAGCCGGGCATGGTGATGTGTGCCTGTAGTCCCAGCTACTCGGGAAGCTGAGGCAGTAGGATCGCTTGAGCCCAGGAGTCTGAGGTTGCTGTGAGCTAAACTGACACCACGGCACTGTAGCCGGGCAACAGAGTGAGACTCTGTGCCAAAAAAAAAAAAAAGAAGAAGAAGAAGTTTATGCCAGATGCCTGGAGAGATACAAATAAAAATCAAAGATGGATTCAGACCTTGTGTACACAAATAATGATAGCACAAGATTGGTTCTGATAATATAAGAGAACTGCAAAAAAAATACTGGGGTAGTTGATAGTTTCATTACATCTAGCCAGCTTCTTAAGAAATGACATTTAAGCTGAGTCTTATTTCAGACTAGGGAAACAGATAGGCAGAGGCTGAGAGGTGGGAAAGTGAAGAAGGGTGGTAAGGTGTACAAGAAAAGGTGAAGTACTCAGTTTGGCTAGAACATACTAGAGGAACCAAGAAACTAGTTAGAAAAGTAGGTTATATCCAGGTCAGTGGAAAGTGTTACAATCCCAAATGAGTTTGGATTTTATCCCATTGCTCTGTGAAAATTGATTATTTGTTCCCATTCTTAAAAGGCAGTTAGGCCGGGAGCAGTGGCTCACGCCTGTAATCCTAGCACTCTGGGAGGCCAAGGCTGGCAGATCGTTTGAGCTCAAGAGTTCAAGACCAGCCTGAGCAAGAGCTGAGACCCTGTCTCTACCAAAAATAGAAAAAATTAGCTGGGCATAGTGGCACATGTGTGTAGTCCAAGCTACTCAGGAGGCTGAGGCAGAAGGATCACTTGAGGCCAGGAGTTTGAGGTTGCTGTGAGCCAGGCTGACACCATGGCACTCTAGCTGGGGCAACAAAGTGAGACTCTTGTCTCAAAAAAAATAAAAAGGACAGTTAAATGTGGCAAGATTGGACCTACATAGGAAGAAAGATTGAAGACTGGAATTTAAATTTTAGCAAGGAGTTTAAGTTAGAAAAATAACATAAATCAAAGGTAGGATTGACAGCAAATTGTTAGCAGATTAACAAATGAACCAGGTATGGAGAACAAGGGAAATGAAACAAGCCAAGATGACTCTTTAGGTTTTGAATTTGTGGCAAGTAAGACAGTGTGGTCATTAATAAGGAACAGGAAGAAAGAGCAGATTTAAGTAAAAATTAGTTTAATTCTGAACATGTTGCTTTGAGGTGCTGGCCTTCAAGTGGAGAAATGTGGTAGGCATTTGGAAAGCTACCAAGGCCTAAGATGGGAATTATTTGCAGAGTACTTTTTGAAGCCCTAAGATTGCAAAGGGAGCGAGTACATGGAGAAAGAAAAGAAAATAGCAGAGAGCAAACTCTTAGAAGATATCTCTTAAGAGGATGGGGAAAAAAGCCAAAGAAGGAACAAAAGCAAGTAGGAGAACCAAGAGAGGACAACACTGGTAAAACCAAGGAAAGATACTTTGAGGAAGAAGTAAAATTCAAACCTGTTTTCTTCAAAAAGAGCTCTGATGTAACCTCAGGAGTTTGATATATATATATTTTATCATCTCATGCATTATTCTGCTATATTGTTTAGCATGGTTACACATAGTAGGTTCTAAATAATTTAGCATACATTAAGGCAATAATAGGCTCTCCCTTTAAGTATTAACCTTTGGCAGAATGTTATATAGATGTCTGAGGTTCAAGCCCCTGATTGTGCAGTCTAGTGTTCTCCTGAAGACTTGAAAGTAAATTCAGGCTCGTGCGGTGGCTCAGGCCTATAATCCTAGCACTCTGGGAGGCCGAGGAAGGAGGATTGCTTGAGCTCAGGAGTTCGAGACCAGCCTGAACAAGAGCGAAACCCCCTCTCTACTATAAGATAGAAAGAAATTAGCCAAACAACTAAAAATAGAAAAAATTAGCTGGGCACGGTGGCAGGTGCCTGTAGTCCCAGCTACCCAGGAGGCTGAGGCAGGAGGATCTCTTGGGCCCAGGAGTTTGAGGTTGCTGTGAGATAGGCAGATGCCACAGCACTCTAGCTCAGGCTAGAGTGAGACTCTGTCTCAAAAAAAAGAAGAAGAAGAAGAAAGCAAATTCTGTGGGATTAATTTGTACTTTGCAGGTTTTCTGTCAAGTTATCTGTTTCATATTTCATTTGTGCTATATTCTCGATCTTGTCTGTTGTTTTTTCCTCTTTGGTAAATATTAGAAGTCCTAACCAGCAATAATTGAAGGATCTCAAAGAAAAGCAGTTAATAGGGTTTAGAGATTGCTTAAGTTGAATGTATTTTTATCTTACATTTGAGCTATTTGGTATATTAATTATTTTAAACTGTCTTCAAAAGATATTAATTTTTATTACTTTTGTAGGTGCCTTTAGAAACCAAACAGGAAACTAGAAAGACAATAGCTTGCTATAAGTAAAAGAAGACAAATACCAAATAACTGAAACTGATGTGTTAAAAAGCTAATTAGAAAGATTTTAGCAGCATTTTGCAAGAGTCAGGGCTAGGGAAACGTGATTAATTTGATGCTATATAGCATAAAAAAAGAAAAATCTATCTTTATTACAGAGGCTTTTCAATTAAGGAGAATAATTAACAATTGATAATGGTTTGACTTGAAATTTTATTATCCATTTGTATGACAGTAGACTTCTGAATACATAAATACAAATTATTGGGGCAAGGGAACATAGGCAAGTATAATCTGTAGCTGGTTTAGTATATAACCGTATCTAAAGGGTGTATATCCTATTTTGTGTGACAACAGCATTAAAGATAAAGATAATCTTATCAAAGTACATACTGAAAAGTAGAGACATCATCTGGTATATTAAATTGATACTGTGTGGCATCTTTATAATCAACATCCATTAAACAGATTGTTAGAACTGAGTTAACTAATTGTTGAAAACCGGTAGTAGCATATATACTTAGAGAAAGTTTTATGTGGTTTGGATGTTAGCATTTTATTTTTGGTAAAGGAAGGGGAATTTATTTTTGGTAAAGGAAGGGGAATTGCTTGGATAAAATTTACCTCTTTGAGGTCTGATTTAGTGAAAACATTTGTTAGGTCTGGATAGTTAAATAGCTATTTTTATTGGGAATTTTAATTTATCTTTAATTTGGATAAATCATATGATAAGTATATCTTTTTAAAAATCCAAAATAGCTTATACAAAACTGGAAATACTGTATTAATATTTTACTTATATTTTCTTTCTTTTGTGGTTGAGTGGTCATAGCAGTGTACAAGTTCTAATGCTTATTTATTTATTGAATTCTCTAATCTGTCAATCCTAAAAAGGTAGATTTGGTCATGTTAGTTATGCTTAGATTTATTGGGCCTTATTAATTTAAAATTAAAAGTTTTAAATACATGACTGTAAACAATTTTTTCTTATTTACTATATAACATCTATTCAAACGGAAGAGATAGGAGTCGACCTGGTAAATGTAGCAGTATTTCTTCCATTACATTTGCATCTTTCATATGCTGTTAGAGCAAAACAGTTTCTGAAGATTTTCTTTGAACAAAGAATAACAACATCACAGAGTATGTAATATTGTCAACAGCACATTCCTTTCTCTCTTTGTCCTCAGTTCTACAAAATATATACATATCTTTGAATAATACTGACCAGAAAGTATATTTGAAGAGGTTCTTTCCAAAATGTATTTTAATGTTCATATTAGACATCGTGTATGGTGAATTTGGTGCATTTAAAATAAAAATACATTTATATGTTTTTAATTGTTGCCACCTCTGATCATTTGTAGGCGAAACCTAACCAAGCTGTCCCTGATCTTCAGCCACATGCTGGCAGAACTAAAAGGAATCTTTCCAAGTGGACTCTTTCAAGGAGACACGTTTCGGATTACTAAAGCAGATGCTGCGGAATTTTGGAGAAAAGCTTTTGGGGAAAAGTAAGTCTCAAAATAATGAATTTGAACTACAAAAAACTAAAGCTTATGTTGTGAGCTTTTTTTTTGTTTAGTTATTAATGAAATATAACATGGGAAAACTTTGAGAAAAATAATGAATATATATTGTACATATTTTCTAGCTTTGGTAAAGTTAACATTTTTTGCCCTACTCATTTTTTTTTTAAAGAAATAAAGCTTTGCAGATTCCATTGAAACTCATACTCTTTGATTGAATACTCTTTCCTTTCTCTCTCTATCCATTCTCCTGTTAATGGACATTTACATTTCATGAACATTTACATTGCTGTCACGAACAGTACTACTGTGAATAGTATCTTAGTTGTCTTCATATGCAAGAATTTTTCCTTAGTTACATACCTAGGAGTGGAATTGTTGAAGGATTTTACATCTTTTCCTTTGCTATAAGTATTGCTTAATTGTTTTCCAAAATGGTTGTACCAGATTATATTCCTATAAGTAGGTTCCAAGAGTATCAGTAGCTCCATGATTTTGCCAGTACTGCTGATGTGAATTGGCATCATTTTGCTTTATATTCTCTGATAACGAGGGAAGCTGAACATCTTTTCACATTTATGACCAGTCAAGATTCTTATTCTGACTTACCTGTCTATTCCTATGCCCGACTTACCCATTTCCCCAGTGATTTGTTTGTCCTTTTCTTATTGTAGGATACTAATTCTTTGTTTGTTACTTACATTACAAATATTTTCTCCCAGTCTGTGGCTTGTCTTTCCATTTTGTAACATTATCTTTTATATATAATATAGGCAGATTTATGAGGCAGGCTTATGTTTTTAAGTATAAACATAAATGTTCTTTCATATCCTCTGGAATTTTGGATCAAAGAACTGAAAAGGTTTTTTTCAGTCAAATATAAAACTTTTCAGTTGAATATACAAATTCTAATGTAAGTCTAACTTTAAAGGCCTTTATTTTTTATATCATGTTTTGTACGTAAAATAAAGACTACATAGCAATTTTAAAAAACCTAATTGAAGAGGATGACAGTAAGTTTAACTTTATACCTTTAACTTAACTACATTAGAAAAAACTTTAAGACATCACTTAATCTCTTATTTTTCAGGCAAGTGAATACATAATCTTTCCAAAGGCAAAGAGATTATTTATTTTAAAGACCCTGAGAAACAGAAATTCCATAATACTTCTTGCTGGCCTAATCTGGGGTTTAAAGACTCCTACTTTAAATAATTTCATCTTCATCTCTATCAGAACTCTGTTCTTCCTGTACCTTAATCCTATTTCCTCTTATCTACCTTGATAGCATAGGTTCCTCAAAGAACACAGAATATTTTTCAAGCTTTAAAAAAGTTAGCTTAGCCAGGTATGGTTGCACATAGCTGGAGTCCCAGCTACTTGGTATGCTGAGGTAGGGGAATCTCTTGAGTCCAGGGATTTGAGGTTGCAGTGAGCTGTGATCATACCTGTGAACTAAACTGCACCCTGGACAACACAGTGAGACCGCCATCTTAAAAAAACCTAGTTTACATACAAGCTTTTAGATAGTAAAAGTCTGGCCACAGGTTACATTTATTATATAAAAAGGATTATCTCATCTCCCTTTTCCATGCTTCTCTAAAAGAATAAATGTCTGAAGAAAGATTAGAAAGAGGATAATTTGTGACATTTGCCGAAGAATAGTGGGGGGAAAGACTTCTATGTTAGTAATTTACTCATTAGAATGTTAAGAAATATATCCCTTACTCTTTTCTTTATATTCTCAACCAAAATATAGCTCAGCCCTTCTGTAAGTGACTTGAAATTCATATTGAGAGCTTAATGTGGCTCTCTTCCTTTTCCTTGGTTATAGCAATGCCTAGAATTATCTCTCTTTATCTCACTTTGTGCCTTCTCTCCACCCCCACCTCAGGACAATTGTCCCTTGGAAGAGCTTTCGACAGGCCCTACATGAAGTACATCCCATCAGTTCTGGGCTAGAGGCCATGGCCCTGAAATCCACTATTGATTTGACCTGCAATGATTATATTTCTGTTTTCGAATTTGACATCTTTACACGACTATTTCAGGTAGGATACTAAAAAAGTTGACTAAACTGGTTACTGCTACGTTTCTAAAGAGAAAAGCTTTTATTTAAAAAAATACTTGGGGTTTTGTGTATTATAAAAATATTTCAATTCATTTTAGAAACTATAAGCAAAAAAAGATTAAAACTACCCTATATTATATATATATATGAAAAATAACTCTACAACCTGCTTTCTTCTCCTCCTTTCTTTGTCATTGAGTATTCTTATTTTGCATCATTTTAATGTTTGTAGACTGGCCAAAAAATTGATATACTATATTGTATCAGTTTTCTGGTATTGGACATTTGTGTATGTTTCCTACTTTTTTTCTCCTATTGTATGGAAATTCTTCACTGTTAATATTGTGATGTATTGTTGCTTCAAAAAGAAACTATTTTTCTTTCTCTAAAAATAATGCTTCCTCCAATGTGTTGTATGCCAACTTGAATAAACATTTGTTTGGAACTTACTAGCTGCACATGTAGGCCCTGTCCTATTTTTCTTGTTCATTGTTCTGCCTCACTATTGTTAGAGCTGCTTTACAATTTCTATAATTTCATTTTATATAGTTAATTTTCTCCCTGTAAGTATATATTCTTTTCTTCTTAGATTTTTTAAGTTTTTATTTTCCAAACATGACTGTCTTCCCTCGGAGTGACAATATAATTAAGAATTTGTGACAATGAATTGAGAGTTGGAGTTGTTTTTTCTTTGGTTCTTCATTTCTCTGAGGCTGGTTTTATGTCTTGAGCTGAATAGTCTGTGATTAATCTCTTGTTTCTTTAGCCCTGGTCCTCTTTGCTCAGGAATTGGAACAGCCTTGCTGTAACTCATCCTGGTTACATGGCTTTTCTGACGTATGATGAAGTGAAAGCTCGGCTCCAGAAATTCATACACAAACCTGGCAGGTCAGTGCCATGAAGCAAAGAGGTTTCTTCTCCTGAATTTTATTCTCTTGTGACTTCTGCTGCTATAGAAGAAACATGATCTCTTATTAGTTCCCCAGTGGCCAGGATTCTGCAATAGGATTGGTGTCTGTTTATCAGAGGAATTGACTTATTCAGACCTTATGATTTGATAAATGCTTTTAAGAGACTTAAGATTGGGTTTATGTGTCTTTTGTTCCTGGTCTGGAATCATTGAAGAGGTTATTCTTGATGGTCCTTTTGATTTTTGTCTCTGTCTTGCCTTCCACCCTGATACCAACATATTTCTTAAACCGTCTGTTTGTCTCTGTTCATAGTTACATCTTCCGCCTGAGCTGTACTCGTCTGGGTCAGTGGGCTATTGGGTACGTTACTGCCGATGGAAACATTCTTCAGACAATCCCTCACAATAAACCTCTCTTTCAAGCACTGATTGATGGCTTCAGGGAAGGCTTGTGAGTATCTACTCCTTACCATTTGCTAGAGTCTTGGAACTCAGGGGCTGTAAAACTTCATCATTAATGATTTTATTCCAGGTTTCTTCTACAGATTAAGATTCAGGTAGCATATTAACAGGTTATATTAATTTGACCTTCAGGTCCTGTAGGACTTTTGTTTTTATCTGATAGGAATTCTGTGAATGAACTCCCTTTTCTCTACTACTTCAGTAGAGAAAATGAGTAAACTTTATCTTTTTCCTTTTCCAAATATTAACTCACTTTCAAGTCTTTATTAGATTTTAAAACATAGCAATTGGCAGGAAATTTGACCAGTTATTTAACTAGCCAACACTAGAGTGATAAGATGTTTCTAGTGACAGTAGGTCTCTGTGGCCTTCATTCTTTCATCCTCACTTCATTTTTGTTCAGTAACTATTTCTTCAAGCTATGGACTTTTGTAACCTATGCTAATATTTATAATTAATTCCTTATTTATTCCAGAATTGCTAGCTATTCCTTTGGGGATTCAAATTGATTATCAGTTGGTAAGCACTAAAACTACTAACAATTGACCAAGTAGCAGAAAACAGAAAACTAGCTTTTATTTTAAAGTGATTAGGAAAATCCAGCCGGGTACAGTGGCTCATGCTTATAATCCTAGCACTCTGGGAGGCCAAGGCAAGATAATTATTTGAGCTCAGGAGTTCCAGACCAGCCTGAGCAAGAGCAAGACCTCATCTCTACTAAAAAAATAGAAAGAAATTAACTAGACAACTAAAAATATATAGAAAAAAGAAAATTATCCAGGCATGGTGGCACATACCTGTAGTCCCAGTTACTCAGGAGGCTGAGGCAGTAGGATCGCATGAGCCCAGGAGTTTGAGGTTGCTGTGAGCTAGGCTGACACCATGGCATTCTAGCCCAGGCAACAGAGTGAGGCTTTGTTTAAGTGATTAGGAAAATCCAGTTTTCATTATGCATAATCTTTCTTCTATAGTAGTGGCATTAGATCTGAAAGAGGTGCTGCCCCTAATGTCAGATCAGTCTGATGCTAGAACCTGGAGATCTCCCTGGTGGATGATCTCATTGGCTTAACTTATATCTTTTTTTTTTTTTTTTTTTTTGAGACAGAGTCTCGCTTTGTTGCTCAGGCTAGAGTGAGTGCCGTGGCATCAGCCTAGCTCACAGCAACCTCAAACTCCTGGGTTCAAGCAATCCTACTTGTCTCAGCCTCTCGAGTAGCTGGGACTACAGGCATGCACCACCATGCCCAGCTAATTTTTTCTATATATAATTTTAGTTAGTCAATCAGTTTCTTTCTATTTATAGTAGAGACGGGGTCATGCTCTTGCTCAAGCTGGTTTCAAAGTCCTGACCTCGAGCATTCCGCCCGCCTCAGCCTCCCAGAGTGCTAGGATTACAGGCATGAGCCACCACACCCGGCCTAACTTATATCTTATTGCATTACTTTTAAATTGGTGTCTCTTATTTTGTTAAACCCATAAACAAAAGTATCTCAGGTCTTTGGTAAAAAGCAAATGCAGTTTAAATAAAGACTTTATTTCTTTTGGGCATCCATTGATTAAAATAGGGATTGGCAAACTATGGCCCATGGGCCAGCTGTTTTGCTACGGTCAGTAAGCCAAAATAGTTTTTCCTAAGTGTTTTTAAAAAAACAACAACCAGAGAAGAATATGTAACACAGACTTATGTGGCCTAAGAGTCTAAACTATTTACTGTCTGTTTCTTTATAGAAAAAGTTTGCTTACCCCTTGATTAAAAGATAGAGCCTGTGGCATTGTTCCCTAGAGAAGTGTTTGGAGAATATCTTCTTGGAACTGTTCTTTAATTGTTTATCTTTTTGAAATATTAGTAAGATTTATCTTTATACCTATGCAAATTGCTCTTTTAGAAAGGGGGAGCTCCTAGGTATTGTTTGCCTATATTAGCAAGCACTAATAAATTGGCTTCAATAAAACCCCAAGGTTGGTTACTGTTTTTATAGCTATTTGTTTCCTGATGGACGAAATCAGAATCCTGACCTAACAGGCTTATGTGAACCGACTCCCCAAGACCACATCAAAGTGACCCAGGTGAATTTTGTTTTACATTATAACTATATCACTGGAGCCAAGCTTTTGTATATACATTATAGAACTGACAGTATAATTGAGTTAAGCAATTAGAATAATTTTAAACCATTGGCTAGATTAGTGAATCTGTATAATTTTTCTTTAAACCATGGAGTTGAAAGTAGGGCCAGGACTAGATGCTTTCTGGTTTAATGGGAGAACACTGACCACTGTTGGGACATTTTTATACAAGCAAAATTTGTCTAGAAAGTAACTGTTTTCAATTTTCCTGTTGTTAGCATTTATGATTGCAGTCATTCATTCATTCAACAAATAGTCTCTTAATTTTTTAATCAAAGGAACAATACGAATTATACTGTGAGATGGGTTCCACGTTCCAGCTGTGTAAAATATGTGCTGAAAATGATAAGGATGTAAAGATTGAGCCCTGTGGACACCTCATGTGCACATCCTGTCTCACATCCTGGCAGGTATGGATCCAAACCATGCATTTTCTAAGCTATGTAATCACTCTGGAGAGTTGGCTGTTATGTATCCTTTAAAGATATAAAGGGTGACCTGGTTTGTGGGGGAGGTTTAAACTTTTAATTTCTTTTTATCCGTAGGAAATTTATTTCCTAGTAGACAAATATTTTAAATACTTTTGGATGCATCTGTTACCATCTTTTGCTTCCTCTGCAGGAATCAGAAGGTCAAGGCTGTCCTTTCTGCCGATGTGAAATTAAAGGTACTGAGCCCATTGTGGTAGATCCATTTGACCCTAGAGGAAGTGGCAGCCTATTGAGGCAAGGAACAGAGGGAGCTCCTTCCCCAAATTATGATGATGATGATGATGAACGAGCCGATGATTCTCTCTTCATGATGAAGGAGCTGGCTGGTGCCAAGGTAAGGCTGCAATTTAGGAGCATGGCAAAATCCATTTTGAGTTGTGTCCTAAAGCCATACAATGCTTAATGACATCCAAACTATAAGGAGTAATAATAGCTGATATATATTGGGCATTTACTATATGGCAGATACTATGTTAAGCACTTATTTTAACTCATTTAATCTTTATAGCAACCCTATGAGTAGGTAATAGTATTATCTTTATTTAACAAATGAAGAAACCAAGGTACAGAGAGGTTAAGGAATTTGCTAAAGATCACACAGCTAGTAGGTTGAACCAGGATCTGTGGCCAGGCATTCCAGCTTTAAGGCCCAAGTTCTCCTGTCTGTATCCTGGGACTCATATAGTTTGGTGGAGAATATGAGAAGGAAATAAAAGAATTGGACCTATTTTGTTAATGTGACTAGAATGTTGTTCTTATCTTCTTTTCTAATGGAGTCTCGGCATTAGAAAGATAGACTAGGGGAAAAAGGAGGCATTTATTAATAACAAAATAAATGGCAACTGAAGTGATTCGAAGGTGTTAGAAAGTACCATGAAGAAACTAAACAAACTAGAAAGGCCCTAGGAAACACAGGAAAAATAAAGACAGTGAAAGGATGTGATCAAATTGTTACATCAGAGGATAGGGTAAGACAAGGGTTTCCTCACTAAATCTTAGAAGTAAGGCAATCCTTAAAGATTTTAGTAAATATAAGGCAAATGAATGGTTCTAATATGCTATAGATTCCTAGTTTAAAATGTTATAAATTCATTCATAGGATACTTTTTCTTGATATAAAAGGAACTTTCTTGTATATTAGCACTTGACTACTTGGCACATGGTAGGTGCTCAATAAAAGGTCTTATCTCCTAAATGGTTGTGTCCTGTTTACCTTACATTCATGCTGTCATCATCATCTGTTCTCCCCTCTGTCAGGGTTATTAATCTGCAGTACAAATGTGACCACCTTGTTCCTTTGCCTTCCCCCACACTTTGATGACTTCTCATTACTTATTGAGTTAAATTCATTTCTCCTTCCAGGCACTTTGCCTGTTACTCCTTTCCACTTTATATTTTGTGGTTCAGCAAGGCTACACTACTTAGAATTTCTCCCTGCTTTGTCATGATAGTTTCTGTCTAAATTTGCTCAGTCTTCATCCCTAGGAAACCTTCCCAAACTGCACTCTGCTTCCTCCACCCCCAGTTCATACATGTTTCCACTCCCATGATCTAGGCCTGGCCAGATGCTTTTGGGACCCTGTGAAGATATCTGCCATAGAATCTTGTAAATGTTTCATTAAAAGTGTTTCTTGTCATGAGTTCCTAGAAGATGAGCCATATCTTATTTGTTACTAGCTACTCAAACAAAGTTGAGCATGTAGTAATTACTTTTAGTGTTTGACTGGAATTGAAACTACTTTAAAGTAGAATTTGATAAATTTATCAATTCTGGATAAATAATCAGTAGTTGAAATCCAGACTATTTGAATGGTATGTTCTTGGTGTTTTGGAGTTGACAATACTTAGTCTTGGCCCCTCAATAACAGGTTATTTGGCAGCATCCTAAGAGATTTCACGTAACCCCTAAAGCATTTTTATATTCTTATGTAGATTGCTAACTGTTCATTCCTTAAGAGTTTACTGGTAATTACTGGAATATTAGAGAAGCTGAATAATAAGACAACGAAGTGATCATTCATGTATATGTTAATTTGAAATATTTTTCTTCATGGAATTATATAGATAGGTGGGGCTCATTGTGGAGAAACAGGCCCTCATGTTCACTGTTGTGGTGGCTGCAAGCTAGTTCCATTGTTTTGGAGAACAATTTGACATCTGTCAAAATGTATAATGTTTAGTTTGAACTAGGAAATCCATTTCTAGAAATTTATCCTAAAAAAATAAACTTGCACAAAGACGTAGATATAGTTATTCTTACATTATTTGCAGTAGTGAAAAATGAGAAACAACCAACATGTTCATGGATGTGGGTTCATGGATTCTGCCTACCACAATCCATATAATGTGTTACCACAATACGCCCATGTGTCATTGCTGCCAAACAAGTTACCACAAAATTAGCAGCTTAAAACAATACATATTTATTATTTTGCAGTTCTTTTAGTCCAGAAGTCCAACACATGTCTCAGCAAGGTAAAATCAAGGTGTTAGCAGGTTTGTATTCCTTTCTGAAGGCTCTAGGGGAAAATGTTTCTTTGCTTTTTTGGGCTTGGCAGGATTTAGCCCTTTGCAGTTGTAGGATTAAGATCCCATGTCCCTTATAGGTTTCCAGCGGATGACATTCCCAGCTTCTGGGGGCCAGCTGCATTCTTTGGCTCCTGGGCTCCTTTCCTCCTTTTTCAGTCTTTCCGCTTTGAGATTCTCATCTTTTAAAGACTCAAATGATTAGATTGGACCCACCTAGATAATCCAGAATAATTCCCCCATCTCAAGATTCATATCTTTATTCACATCAGCAAAGTTCCTTTTGCCAAGTAAGGTTACATATTCACAGGTTCTGAGAATTAGGTCACGGACACCTTTGGAAGACCATTATTCTACCTACCACAATCCATATGATGGAATGAATGCTCTGCAGAATGAGTTTAATTTACATATACTTAAGTGGAAAGTTGTTTAATCTGTATTAAGTTTGAAAAAGCAGCTAGGCATAATATGTAGTATAATCTCATTTCTATAAAAAATTTTGCTTATAAAAATTTTTTTTTAACATTTATAGGGAGAAAAATTAGATGACTGCACACCAAATTCCTCAAATATTATTTCTGGGGATAAAAGTTCAGAGGACTTTAATTTTGTGGAATATTTGAACTTTTACAATTAACGCGTGTTACTTTTGCAGGGTGTTTATTGTGCTAGATAAGTAGCTCAATGTTGAGTGCTATATGGGATAAGTCTGGGACAAGGCTCTCAAGGAGCTAGTAGTTTTATCAGGAAGAGGATATATGTGCAGACGAAACACTGTTCAGTATAAAGCGGTGAGCATTGTTTAAATTGTTGAGTACACAGTCAAGTGGTGTAGAAGTTTAGAAGAAAGAAGAACAGGAACACTTTTCCCCCTAGCTGTGTAGAAATTCAAATAGAGAAGGAAAAACAGCTTCATGTATTGTATTGTCATTTGGCTATTCTATAATTTATTAGTCTCTTAATGGACATTCTTAGTGTTTCCAGGCTTACACACATATTGGCATACTTTTGCAAGTCTGTCTGTAAGGTAAATTCTAGGAGTAGAATTGCTAGCGCATGAAAGAATGTGCATTTAAACTCTATGATAGAGGAGAAGGGATATAATTAGTGGAGGGACACATGGGAATTTCACAGAGACAGTGGTATTTTATGTTTTAGCTGGATGGTTAAGAATGTGGTTGTTTTATTATTTTTTATACCTTATAGTCCATTATTTACTTTGTATGAATAAAATGTTTATCTGAAAATATTTAACTTTTTTTTTTGAAACAGAGTCTTGCTCTGTCACCCAGGCTAGAGTGCCATGGAGTCAGCCTAGCTTGCAGCAACCTAAAACTCCTGGGCTCAAGCGATCTTCCTGCCTCAGTCTCCTGAGTAACTGGGACTATAGGCGAGCCCACCCTGCGTGGCTAATTTGTTTCTATTTTTAGTAGAGACGGGGTCTCACTCTTCTTGGGTTGGTCTTGACTCCTGACCTCAAGTGATCCTCCTGCCTCTGCCTCCCAGAGTGCTAGGATTACAAGCATGAGCTACCACACCTGGCCATATTTAACTTTTTGATAAACATTAACATATGTCCCAAGTTTTTTGTCCTAAAATCACTCCTGAAGTTATGAAAATATTAGAGTGCCTATTTCTTTACATTGTGGTAGCTGTTGTTTATTGTTTGTTTTATTGATTTTTTTTTTTTTTTTTTGAGACAGAGCCTCACTCTGTTCTGGGTAAGTGCTGTGGCATCAGCCTAGCTCACAGCAACGTCAAACTCCTGGGCTAAAGCAATCCTCCTGCCTCAGCCTCCCTAGTAGCTGGGACTATAAGCACACACCACCATGCCCCGATAATTTTTTCTATTTTTAGTAGAAATGGGGTCTTGCTCTTGCCCAGACTGGTCTCCTGAGCTCAAGCTATCCTCCTACCTTGGCCTCCCAGAATGCTAGGATTACAGGTGTGAGCCACCATGCCCAGCCTTGATTTGTTTTTAATAGAGTGAATGTACTTTTAAAAAAATACAAGTGATAAATGGACATGGATTTTTTTTTTAAGTTTAAAAGCATTTTTAAAAGGCTTACAAAAACATTGGTTCCCTGCCTCTATGCCTTCCAGCTCTTCTCTATACTCTTGTTCAGATTTTCCTACCTCAGTGTTTCTAAACCATATGCTCGTACTGCTTTCTCTTGATTCTTGATGTGTTTACCGCAGTTGTTGTAGAAGAGGATTTAGATCTCTTATGATATCTCTCTCCTTCCTACTCCATATCCTCCCACTATAGTTAGTTGAATGTTTTTTTGCTAAATCAGTGTTGAGCTTTTAAATGATTTTGCTCCCTAATGTACCAAGTAATTGCTGTAATTACTTTTGTTTTCTTATATGACCTTCTGCTTTTCCTGAAGTAATTATTTTTATTTCCTTAGTTTACAGTTTGTACCTGTCACAACCAAGTCATACTGTGCTCTCAAACAACCTCTCAGTATAATCTTCTATGAAATAAAATCTATTTTTTTTTTTTTTTTAGAAATCAGGGAAATGTCCAGAAAAATCTATTAATATACCATATTAATATAGTAACTAGCATATGGCATAATATGCCTAATATTTAGGAGTGGTCTGTGTTCAAGTCTTATCTGGACTGGTTATTCTCTGTGCTGTGTTCCCTGTCACCCTGCAGTCTCCCTCACTGTCCTCATGGGACTTCATTGCTGGTCCCCGTTGGAGTGGCTGTTTCTTGGCTCCTGTGTTTTCCTCTTTCTTGCTTTACTTCTTTGGGAAGAATATGTCTTCAAAAATAGCTTTCTGTGAAAAAATGAGAGGTAAACGTTTTTAGACCTTTGATCTCTTAAAATGCCTTTATTCAATCCTCACATTTGAGTTGACTAGTTATAGAATTCAGGGGTGAAAAATATTCAGCTCTAAAATAAAGCTTCACTAATGTCTAGCTTCTAGTGTATTTTTTACTCTTTGGTGACCTTTTTCCCTCTATTCCCAGAAGCTTTCAGGGTATTTTCTCTCTCCTTGATTTGCTGAAACATTTAAGAGTATTTTGGGTTGGTTGGTTATGGGCATATTTTCCTTCCTTGAACCAGGTACATCAGTGGTCCCCAACCTTTTTGGCCTCAGAGACTGGTTGTTACAGAAGACAGTTTTTCCATGGACCCAGTGGGGGATAGAGGGCAATATGCTTTCAGGATGATTCAAGTGCATTACATTTATTGTGCAGTCAAACCCCTCTGCTGACAATTTGCATTTGCAGCTGCTCCCCAGCGCTAGCATCACCGCCTCAGCTCCACCTCAGATCATCAGACATTGGATTCTCATAAGGAGCGCACAACTTAGATCCCTCGCATGCGCAGTATACAGTAGAGTTCATGCTCCTATGAGAATCCAGTGCCGCCGCTGAGCAGACAGGAAGTGGAGCTTATGTGAGCAATGGGGAGCAGCTGTAAAATACAGATGAAGCTTCACTCACTCACCTGCTGCTCACTTCCTGCTGTGCGGCCTGGTTCAGAACAGGCCACGGACTGGTACCAGTCTGCAGCCCGAGGGTTGGGGACCATGGATACACAACGAATCCTTTCTATATGGCTATGTATGTCCCTCAGGTCTTGGAAATGTTCTTTTTCTTTAACCACTTCGGTACCAGCGTCGACTATAGTCGATAGCCACAGATGAACGCTCACAGCGACTTTAGCTGACAGTCATGATGTGAAGGCACACAGCTGAAAGTTGACTTCAGCCGACAGCCGTGATATGACTTTTCTAATTTTTCATTTATCAAAATAAAATTGTGAACATTTAAAAATAACATAATAAAAACATATATGCATATGTTACCTATTGTGATTTACATTATAAGTAAAGCTGCCTATAAAGTAAAAACAAGCTTTCAGTGCTTTAAAGCTTTCCTCATCACACAAGAGCAAAACGGATTCGTTGTCAATGCACAGCACAGACTATTGTGCGGACTATGAGTGCTGGCTGTGGGCAAGGTTTCGCGGCTGGTGAGCGCAGTACCGAAGTGGTTAATAGTTTCTTTTCCATATGTTGGGATAAAAGAACATTGTAGGGATCAGTTATGCTGTTGAGCCATTAATTGAAGAATATGATTAGCTGCCTTATAAAGATATAAAACTATTATGTATCCATCATCATAAAATTTTAAAAAAGAATGTGATTAGCTCAACCCTCTGCACTTAAGGAATGAGAGAGAGGGATGGTGGGCAGAGAGGGCCTTCCGGATCAGGGAAACGACTTGAACAAAGGCCGGGAGGTCGGGATGATCAGAGCAGATGCAGGAAACGCTGGGAGACGCAGCAGCAGTGCCTGTTAGGGAGTTGTGGCAAATACTACTGGTTACGGAGATCAGATTAGAAGGACCCAGGGAAGCCAGGAAGGAGAATGATTTTTGTGACAGATGAAGTTGGGAGTTATTTAATAGTTACAGTTTTTGAGTTGGTGAGTGTTTAAGGATGGCTAAGGTGATAGTTGTAAGCAGAAGGATTTGGTGAGATAAACTGCAAGTTAGGAGGATCACTAGAAAGTTGTTTTAATAAATTCGGTTTGATGTTGGTGAGTAGAATGAAAAGGAAGGTATGGATATGAGATTCTTTTAGGGAAAATCATCAGGATATAGTGAGTAGATAGACATTGATGATGAAGTGGGAGGGTGACTGGTAACTTCTGACTTTTGTAATTGAGATGTTTAGCTGCACATGCTGCGTTATCCCTGATGTGGAGCCCATTTCCTTAAGCATGAGTGAAAAGCAAGTAGCCACAGATGAGGACTTTCTTCTTCCTCATTCACCACCCAGCACTAATAACAGGACTAAGTATGGGGAGTGGTTTCTGTTATCTTGCATAAGTGCTTATAATATGTATTTACCTTTATCCCATTAGTTGCTTCCGTTGGGGAATGCAAATACAGAGTGGCGTTTTATGTGGATTACTCTCTCTCTGTCCTGACAGCTTACTTTGGCAAACTTTTCACCCTGCTGTGGGCAGGGAAAATAGAAAAGGTTACACATGTATTTCTTCTCACTTGGCACCTAAATTTTTAGAACTCAACTTGATAGACTATATTAATCCCATTTATTTATTTGTTTACTTGTTTGTCTGTCAGAGTCTCACTGTATTGCCCGGGCTAGAGTGTCGTGCATCAGCCTAGCTCACAGCAACCTTAAACTCCTGGGCTTGAGCAATCCTTCTGCCTCAGCCTCCTGAGTAGCTGGGACTACAGGGATGCACCACCATGCCCGGCTACTTTTTTCTATATATTTTTAGTTGGCCAATTAATTTCTTTCTATTTTTAGTAGAGACGGGGGTCTCGCTCTTGCTTAGGCTGGTTTTGAACTCCTGACCTTGAGCAATCCACCTGCCTTGGCCTCCCAGAGTGCTAAGATTACAGGCATGAGCCACCACACCCTGCCAATCCCTTTTAATTACTGAATTGAAATAACTTATTTCTTCGGAAGAACTCAAGATGCTTTATAGTGGCATAGTTGACCATTTTTCTCTTACAAGTCTCCTTTTTTTCTTATCATAATGACCCACAGAGAATTTCTCATCTTTGATCTCTTTCCTTATTCTGCTCCTTAAACATTATTTTTCCAAGGTACTTTGTTGAGAGGTTAATGTCTGCCCTCTTTTTTTATATGGGCTTCTATTTTTAATCTTGAAAATATTTTTTTTCCCCAGAGATGAGGAGGTAGAAAATTTTAGTAATTTTTTAATTGTAAGCTAGATAACACTGCCATTTCTAGATATATTTGCCTGTAGCACTTGCCATTTGCATGATATTTCTATGACTGAGAGTGCCCTCTTTTGGTGACACAAAAATAATTCAAGAAGTGCTAGACTCTGGAGTTACTGAGTTTTTAAAGAGGGGTTTGGGTGATCCCAAGCCTACATCTGGCCCATTCAATGTTCACACGGTATTTGCCATCTATAGCTTTAGGAGAAGTTGATAGGTGCTATTTCCCCAAACAACCATAAGCTGTTAAGAAATTTTATTTGTTAAATTTTATTTGTTTCTAGGTGGAAAGGCCTCCTTCTCCATTCTCTATGGCCCCACAAGCTTCCCTTCCCCCAGTGCCACCACGACTTGACCTTCTGCAACAGCGAGTATCTGTTCCTTCAAGTGCTTCTGGTCTTGGAACTGCTTCTAAGGTAAAGCATTATTCATTTCTGCAACTTTCTGAGTCTTTGTTGTGCATTAGTGGGTTTTGATTGATTTGTTTCCATCCTGCTTCCACAGGCTGCTTCTGGCTCCCTTCATAAAGACAAACCATTGCCAGTACCCCCCACACTTCGAGATCTTCCACCACCACCTCCTCCAGATCGGCCTTATTCTGTTGGAGCAGAAAACCGGCCTCAGAGACGGCCCCTGCCTTGTACACCAGGCGATTGTCCATCCAGAGACAAACTGCCCCCTGTCCCCTCTAGCCGTGTTGGGGACTCATGGCTGTCCCGGCCAATCCCCAAAGTACCAGTAGCTGCTCCAAGTCCCAGTGACCCCTGGACAGGAAGAGAATTAACCAACCGGCACTCACTTCCATTTTCATTGCCCTCACAAATGGAGCCCAGAGCAGATGTGCCTAGGCTCGGAAGCACATTCAGTCTGGATACCTCCATGGTGAGTCCTAAGTTTTTGAAATTTTTAGCTTATTAACAAATATTCATGGATACCATTTTATGGGCCAAAGCTTTGTGATAGGTTTTTACAGAATTCAGAGGTAATGTAACATAATCCCTACCCTCAAGAAGTATATATGTTAATAGAACAGATGAGGCAGTTTGTAAATATTGCAGTAAATGTTCTTTTATAAATGCCATGTGTAATATAACCAGAAAATGTTTAAGTGTTAGAGAAAGGAGAGATTATTCCCAGGTGCAACAATCAAGAGGACTTTATGGAAAGAGTGGCATCTGGATCTACAGTAGTAATCTTTGGAAAGTGGAGACAATTTTAAAATAAGAGCCATAATAATAGCAATGCTTAAAGTATATTTGTGGAATGACAAGTAGGTTAATCTGAGTAGAGCAGAAATTTTGTTTCTCAGAGTAGAAGAAAGGGCTAGAGAGGAACATAAATACCAGATTAGAGGACTGAATACCACTTCCCTAAAGAATTCAAATTTATACTGGAATACAGGCTCTGTAAAGGAAAAAAAAAAAAAGAATTCAAATTTATATGGTAGAAAATGAGGAGTATTTGAAGATTTTAAGTTAAGTGGAGTGATGTGACCAAAACAATGGATTAAAGAGATGACTCTCTTAGTAGTTGCAGGATACATTGGAAAGAGAATAGATTGAAAAAAGATCTCTCAGCTTTGCTACTTGGGAAGGTCAAAGGGAAAGTAAGTGAGCTTGGGAGAGACAGGAATAACAGAGGGGTTTAATGTGTCCAGTAGTATATGAGCAAGAGGGAGAAACATTGTCTGTGAGCGGAGTGGGCAGCCAGATTAGGTGGAAGTCTTTAGAGAGTGTAAAACAAAGACTTAAGGCTCAAAAGTAGTCAGTGGGAAGGAAAAAAGATGCAAAATCTCACACGTGCACATGTGTGCACACACACACGCAAAACTCCTCAGGGTTTGAACCTGGCTAATTAGAAATATGTTGAATTTGAGATGAGCGACTGATGGAGGAGTTGGCAAGCAGGTAGTTTGGAAATCTAAGGAGATGGAATGGGAAGGGTGATGTTGAAAAGTATTGCAGTGCAAATGAATGGCATGTTTCTTGGTTGCAGGGAAAAAGGGAGGGTAACATTTAAATGGCATCTGTGTGATGACCATTTTATTAGTGAGAGTAGATTAGGTTTGACTTTCTGGTGTCATCAATGTAGAGTGACCATTTTGTGTTAGGGTATAGATTATTTAAGTTATAAATGGTATTTGTGGTCGGGCGTGGTGGCTCATGCCTATAATCCTAGCACTTTGGGAGGCCGAGGCAGGGTGGGATTGCTCCAGGGTTTCAGGAGTTTTGAACAGCCTGAGCAAGAGCAAGACCCCATCTCTACTAAAAATAGAAAGGAATTAATTGCCAACTAAATAAATATATAGAAAAATTAGCTGGGCATGGTGGCACATGCCTGTATTTCCCAGTTACTGAGAAGGCAGGAGGATTGGCCTTGAGGCCCAGGAGTTAGGTGCCTGTGAGACTAGGCTGATGCCACGGCACTCTAGCCTGGCAACACAGGAGGACTGTTTCAAAATAAAAAAAGAAATTGGTAATTTGGTTTAACCAAGCAAAGTTTTTTACGTCCAAATTTTTGTGAAATTAAACACAAAAAAAATCAAATTTCCTTGGCTCTTTTTTCCTAAGATCTCTGTCCTCCCTAACTCTTTCATTGAATGTTTCTTTTCAGAGCTTGAAAGCAACTTGCTTTTTACCAAAATATGAAATTATCCCTAGCCAATGGCATTTGGAGAGTGGGGAGAATCTGTCCCCTTTGTTAACTGTTCTCATTTTGAAGAAAGGTCCAGTAAAAGTTAAGAAGGAAGATCCCTTAACTATGGTAAAGGAAGGTTTTCTTTTTTCAACAACCTTTCTTTACTTTTCCAGATAATCAGTTAGCAAGCCCATTAGCAAGGGTCAGAAGTTGTGGAACCACCCCAAAATCAAACTTCCCCATCTGCCAATTGCCATTTTTACTTTCTCTGCTGCCCAAGGTAAAAGTTTGGCTAAAGCCTGTTTCATACAGGTGGAGTTGTAAAACTGGGGTAAAAAACACCTTACTAGGAGAAAATTAGAAACTCAAGAAAAGAAATATAAAAGAGAAACATAAAATTGATCTCTAAACTTTTTTGGGTGTCCATGTTACAAAGTGGATTCATATTTTTATTTAATGTTTGGAAATATGTTCAATTCTTTTTTTTTTCCTATGTTAAGAATTGTTTAAAATAAAGATTGGTCTTTGGCTGGGGGCTGCATTTTTAATCCTTTTTCCAATAAGCAAAATTTTTGGGGTTGTTTTTGTTTGCTTAAATGCTTATTGAAATTATCTACTTTCTGGTTTTATTGTTTCTTTTTTATTCCCTTCCTAGTTTCTTTCTTTTAATTTGGGTGGTTTTCTTAAAGCTTCAATACAGATGGAAATGTAGTTTATTTTGGAACTGCCATAACAAAAGTTAACCACAAATTGGGTGGTTATGTGGAAAATTTTATTTCCTCACCAATTTCTGGAGCTGGAAAATTCAGAATCAGGGTTGCCCAACCTGGTTGTTTCTGGTGGGGGCTTTGTCTTCCTGCCTTTTGGGTGCTCGAACCCTAAGTCATATAGGTTCTTCTTTTGGGTTGCGTTGTGCAAAAGGGAGAAGAGGGCACGTGGGCTCCACGAGCTGTCCTGGGGGTTCTCTGCTTAATAAAGGGACACTAATATATCCAGATTGGCAGGTCCATTCCTTTTTAAATTTACCTCCTTAAGGGCTTCCATCTCCCAAAATGCAATCATCTCAAGTAAAATACTTCCAGGGATTGGTTTTCCAGGACCCACCCTTTCGTACCCAAAAAAAATCAACACATAATCCCCTGAAAGTCCAGTCCTGGTGGAACCAGTAAATGTGGGAAAAATTGGGCCCTCCCCTGTACTGGGTGCATCCTGTGTACTGGTATTCTAATTTGCCATTTTGGTGTTACTGGATATGAACCCATAGCTTACAGAGGGCTTTTGATTGTTTTCATTGAAAAAATCCCCATAAAGGTGGACCCCATGCAATTTCAAAAACCTGGTTTGGGGCTTGTCAGCTTGTATACCCCACACTGGAAAGTTATAGACTTTAAAATATTATGGGATTCTGGGGGGAAAACACAAATGTTGGTAAACAATAACAGAAAATGTTAACTGTTATCTAACCCAAATTTTGGAAATTATTCGATATTTTTCAATAAATTCATTTCAATTTTCCACATACGCTTTTTTTCCATTTGTGATCATCTTGATCATAGTTACTTTGTGTTTTTTGCCGATTTCACAACATTTAAGATTTTCTAATTATCGTTCTGGGGCCCTTTTAGCCTTTCAATTAACAATGTTGGTCCAGAAACACATTCTTTTTATAGACCTAATTTATGGTAAATCCTAGTAAATAATATAACCACTTTACAAATTTCAATAAGAATGGTGTATTTTTGAGTTTTGGGTTGTAAGCATTCTATATATGGTTTCAAGTGAAGGGGTCCAAGTTTATAATATTTGTTTATCCCTGTTCTATCTCCCTTTGATTTTTAAAAACCTACCCGTTTCTATCAGATAATAGGAAATAATATTAAATTTCTTACTTTTTTTAAACGTGAAGTTTTTCTTTTTTTTTTCCCTTAGTTTTTGTTTTATTTGGGTGTTTTATGTGTTATTTACATCAACGTAGTTAGGTTTTACACCGAACATTTTAAGTTATGTAATTAGTTTGGTTAAAAAGAATTTTTATTAATCAATGAAAAATTATCCCCAATTTACTCTGTAAGTTTCAACTCTTTGCCTGCTTCGTCCTGGCTTTTGTTCCTAATATTAAAATGGCTACATCAGCCTGGTCCCTTTTAAAGGTAGTATTTGTATACTTCCACTTCCTTTTTTTCCCCTTAAAATATTGTAAGTTAAAATGGTCTTCCTCATAAGCCAGTAATATCTTGTTTGTTTTATGAGAGGTTTGGTCTTTTTTTTTTTTGTCTTTTTTTTGAGGCAAGCTGGCCTTCTTGCACCCAGGAGGGAAGTTTTTAACAGTGCGCAGTCCATAGCCTCCCACTATAACACTTGGAACTCCTGCTGTTCCCAACAAATTTCTCCTACCCTCAGCCTCCCGAGTAAATCTAGGACTTCAGGTGTGCAACTACCAAACCGCTTGCTGAATTGCCTTCTTTTTTTTTTTTTGTTTTTCCAGGTTGTCTGAAAAACTCCTGGGCTCCAAATCGTCCTCACCCACCTGGGCCCTTCTCAAAGTAAACTGGGATAATAGGCGTGGGGAGCCAACTGCCCCACCTGCCCAATGGTTTTTTTGGTTTTTTTTTCATAAAATCCACTCCTGCAATCCTTTTCTTAAGAATTGGGAAGTCGGCTTGGGGCGTGGTGGCTTCCAAGCCTGTAATCCCCCTAGCAAAACATTTGGGGAGGCCGAGCGGGCGGGAATTGCTTCAAGTCAAAGGAGTTTCCGAAACCAGCCTGAAGCCGAGACCCCATCCCTTACCAAATAAAAATTTATTGGGACCAACCTAAAATAATATATTCAAAAAATTAGCCCGGCAAGGTGTGCATGCTTAAGTCACCTAACTCGGAGGTGAGGCAGTAAGGGAATCCACTGAAAAGCCCAGAGGATTGAAGGGTTGCCCTTGTGAGCCAGGCTGACGCCACCGCCACTTCACTCTAGCCCCTGGGGGCAAAACAAAGGTGAAAGGACTTCCGTCCTCAGAAAAGAAATTGAGTCTAATTTGGTCTAATTCCTTTCACCACATTTTCCATTCCATTTCTTGGTTCATTTTCTCCTTTTTTTTTGCTTTTCCTTCGATTAAAGTATTTTTAAATAATACATTTTTCACCCTCCCTATTCATATTAATTATCTTTAAAGTGGGACCTAGAGATTTCCCAATATGCACCTTTTTGCTTTTTTCTAGGGGTATCACTTTTAATTGGCACTCATAACAACTTCCTTTTGGCATATTTATTTTATAATTCAAAGAATTTTACCCCCATGCCTCCCAATTTTTCCTTTCCTGCTTTTGGCCATCGGGAAAATCTTTTTTCCCCATCTTGCCTAAAGAATGTCTTTGCGTGGGGTGGTGGTAACATTGTGTATGTTAGTTGGGTATCTCTTTATCAATGGATTTACAATTTTGTTTGGAATGAAAATAGCTTTTAACTTCTTATTCTTTTAAAAGATATTTTCCACTGGATTACAGTATTCTGAACTAGAGTTTATTTCTTTTATCACTTTAAAAATATCTCCACTATTTTCTGCTCTCATCGCGTTGAGAAATTTAGCTCTCCAGTCTTTAAGGTTGCTTCTTTACATAATGTTTGTTTTTCTACTTACTTAAACAAGAACTTTTCCCTCTGTCTCTGTTTCCCAGCAGTTTTGTTATACTCTGTTTCCTTGTGTGGTTTCCCTTATATTATCCCTTCTAAGGTTTTGTAGAGTTAACTGAATTTAATGCTTTGATTTTTTTTAATCAAGTTTTTAGAAATCTCCATTCCAAGTTATTTCTAAAATAGACTGATCAGTCGGTTTCCTTTTTCCTTCTCTTCTTCTGGTGATATAGTGTCGTGAATGTTAAGACCTTTTTTGCTGTATATTCCTAATAGCTTTAAGCTCCAATGTCTGTATTTCCACTTTCTTTAATTCCTCTTATATATTTTAATCTGAATAGTTTAAATATTATCCTTCCAGCTTATCTTTTGTGTTTCACCTGTCTATATCCCATTCTAATTTAGTTTTTAGTTTTTAGATACAAAACTGTGCTAACAATGGGTTTTTTATCCAGAATGTAACGCCATGTAACGCTGGGAGGATTATACTGAATACATAGGCCTTTTTCTGTCCATGATGTTGAAAAATTCTAAGCCCAGAAACTGAACTGTATCAGTGGCTTTTTTTTTTTTTTTTTTTGAGACAATGTCTCACTCCTGTTACCTTTTACCCGGGCTAGAGTGCTGTGGCGTCAGCTTGGCTCACAGCAGCCTCAAACTCTTGGGCTCAAGCAATCCTTTTGCCTCAGCCTCCCAAGTAGCTGGGACTATAGGCATGTGCCACCATGCCTGGCTAATTTTTTCTATATATTTTTAGTTGGCCAATTAATTCCTTTCTGTTTTTAGTAGAGATGGCGTCTTGTTCTTGCTCAGGCTGGTTTCAAACTCCTGACCTTGAGCAGTCCGCCTGCCTCAGCCTCCCAGAGTGCTAGGATTACAGTCATGAGCCACTGTGCATTCTCCTTTTTTATTAAACATACAAATTATGATTATTGTAAAGGCTATATCTGATAACTCCAACTGTGTCTGCAGCAAGACGACCAAAATAATCTGTTCAGCTTCTCAGTTACTACTTTCTGTTCTTTCAGTTTCTCAGAAACTGGCCCCATACACAGATAGTTCCGAGATTAGCAATAGTTCTAACAATAGGGAAAATTGCAGGCAGAATTTCAGGCCTGCTTCTCTGCTGTTCCTTCTAGAATTTTTGGCCCCTCGCACTTTGGCTGTCATGGTACCCCAAAATTCCATTTCACTTTCTGTTGTTACAACTGAATACTTGAAATTAGGTAATTTATGAAGAAAAGAAATTTCTTAGTTGATTTCTAGAGTCTAGGAAATCCAGGAGCATGGTTCCAGCATCCAGTGAGGGCCTTCCTGCTGCATCATAACATGGCAGGAAGTGTCACATGGTAAAAACGGCAAGAACATGCCTGCTCAGGTCCCTCTTCTTATAAAGCCACTGGTCCAATCATGAGGGCCCCACATTGATGACTTTATCTAATCTTAATTACCTCCCAAAGGCCCCACCTCCAAATACCAGCAACATATAAATTTGGGGATTAAGTTTCCAACATATAAAATTTGGGGGACACATTAAAACTATAGCACTCTCCCCCAGCCCAAGTTCAGAACCTCTAATATGGAGCTCACTTAATGTATTCTTCCTTTGTATGACCTATTTCTCTTTACAAAAGTAATTCATGGTAATTAAAGAAAATTTAGAAAATATAGATAAACAACACTGAAGAAATAAACATCACCTATAATCTTAATACCTAGAATCAGACAGTTGTTACCACTTTGATACATGTTCATTGCCATTCTTTCTTGTATGAAATCATATTGTTGATGCTGTTTTTCACTAGGAATATCTTGAAAATCTTTGCATGTTATTACTTATTCTACCACAATGATTTTCAAATGATTGTAAAGCAGTGTAACTGACTTAGATGGAGACCTAGTTTGTAACATAGGTGAGAACAGACCAATTGTGGAAGAAGCAGCCTCTGGGGCTCCTGTTTGGAACCTCAAAAGCACTGAGGGACATAGTTGACTCCAAGTATATTGCTGTATGTGTGGTTCAAAATTTATTTGGTACACTATTATTTGATATTTAGGTTGTTACCTGTTTCTTCAGTGTTATAATAATAATGCCATAGTGAATATTCTTGATTGTTTTCTTGGGGAAAATTCTTAGAAATGGAATTTCTGGGACCAAGGGTATGCATGTTTGGTTAAGTGCTTTTGTTGAGTTACACACCAGAGAAGTTATATTAGTTTCTTATTTCTACAGCTGTATGAGAGAGTATCCATTTATTTCCCTACACCTTTACTGATACTTGGTGAGGTGTTTTTTCCTTAGTATGGATCATTACCCTTACCAACATTTTATTGTGAAAAATTGCAAACATAGAGTAAATGTGAAAGAATTTTACAGCAAATATTATATACTAACCACCTGGGTTCTACTGTTAGCATTTTATTATGCTTGTTTTATCACACGTTTGACTGTCTGTACTACTTTTTGATGAATCTCAAAGCAAATTGTATATACTAATACACTCTGCCTCAAATTCAGCATGCATTTCGCAGATCCTAGTGAATATTTGCTGAATTTTAACAAAGCATACAAATGGGTAATTTTTCAATGGTAAAACTAATCTGTAGACATAAGAAAAAAATCTCAAGTAAGATTATAGGGGACTCCATGTTCTATGTTAAGTTTCTGTAGCACTTAAGTATTTTTATGATAAGTATATGTTTTATAATTAGGAAAACTAAATATTAAGTACCCACAAATAAATTCCAGAGATATTTCTGGTAGTATATTTAGGGTATGCAAAAATAGTTTAAAGAGGATGAGAGGGAAAACACTCATAAATTCACACCCCAGGAAACAATTCTCTGTGTATGTATGTTTTTCTTATACAGTTGGTTGGGTTTTTTGTCTTTGTCTCATTTCAGGGCTGGGTTGGTAGAAGTTCTGTTTCAAAAGCTTCTGGGTAAAAGTTTATGTATGAGTATAATGGCAATATTCCTGAAGTGGGAGTCAGAAGATTTAGATCCTAGGCTCAGAATTGATGCTAAATAACTTCACTCTATCTCTATTTTAGATTTTCCTTGCATAAAATGAGGAGTTTGAGAAAACTTTTGACAAGCTATGTATTCCTTTAAGCCATAGGTAGATTTTAGAATTGAAATTTACATATCTATCTTATTTTCAGAAAGCTACCTGGTGTTTGTTATTTCATACCTATTGGGGGAAAAAACTGGGATACTGGCTCTAGGACTGGGACTCCATAATGAAATGTATTTGGGGATTGAGACTAACTGGTATTGGCACCCATCCCAGTGTAACACATCTCAAGCATAATGGCCATACTGTTGTCATCTGAAAGTGAAATTTTGGGTTAGTGGGCTTCTTATTAATGACCTGTCTCAGTCAGTAGAAATAGTAGTTTCCTAGGTGGCATGCATTTTGCTCTGTCAAGTTTGAGTTGTGTTTGTTTTGAAGCCACTTAATTTCATACTTGAAAGTTTTATGGCTTCTTAATTCTTTTTCTTATTTTTATTCTTCATCTTCCAGACCTCTTCCGGTGCCAAAACTGCCTTCTGGGGAGCAGTGTGAAAATGAGGAGGACACAGAGTATATGACTCCCTCCTCTAGGCCTCTCCGGCCTCCAGACACAACCCAGAGTTCACGGTAGGTTCATAACACCCTGTTAGGGGCCAAATACTTTTGGCTTGTTACCTGCACATAGTGTTATTCAGCCAGATTAAAGCAGAAAGATAAATCTAGCTCCTAATGTTTAAGCCCCTCATATGTAAGCAGTTCCATTTACATTTTCTCAGCATCACAGTAACCTCAAATACACACACATCTATAACTCATCACAAGAGTTTATGTCAGGACATTTGTTAGTGATACTGGCAAAAGGAGAAGATGAGTCTTAATGAGTTTGCAGATAACAGAGTTCTATTCCTAAAGATCATTATGGCACTTTCCTTCCGGTTCAGAGTATGTGATTGTGACCAGCAGATGGATAGCTGTACATATGAAGCAATGTATAATATTCAGTCCCAGGCGCCACCCGTCACCGAGAACAGCACCTCTGGTAAGTAGTCACTCTACCACCTTAAAAATCATTGATGTGGCTGGGCGCAGTGGCTCATGCCTGTAATCCTAGCACTCTGGGAGGCCTAGGTGGGCGGATAGCTCGAGGTCAGGAGTTCAAGACCAGTTTGAGCAAGAGCGAGACCCCGTCTCTACTATAAATAGAAAGAAATTATTGGCCAACTAATATATATAGAAAAAATATAGCCGGACATGGTGGCGCATACCTGTAGTCCCAGCTACTCTGGAGGCTGAGGCAGGAGGATCGCTTGAGCCCAGGAGTTTGAGGTTGCTGTGAGCTAGGCTGACGTCATGGCACTCTAGCCTGGGCAACAAAGCGAGACTCTGTCTCCAAAAAAAAATCATTGATGTGCCATAGGAATGAGCCTGTAATATTTGGCTAATGAGATAGCTTGATCTAAGCAGTAAATTCTTTTTAATAATATTCTTTGGCAAAATATCAGTGATCCATGGACAGTAAAGCCCCTTGCTGTCTTTTAATTTCTGTTCACACAGCTAATTCTTTTCTGTTGTATGGCCTGGACCTGCAGTATTGGCATCTTCTTTTTATTCTCATTGCATTGATATTCTTTTGTGTGGGGGTGGTAAACACTCAATTCCCATGTTAACTAGCTTACCAAGTTGAAAATTCAGGAAACTTGCACACACAGGGCCCTTTGCTGATCATCCAAGGTGAAATGTAGTAGTGTTGGATGAATGCTATACAATGGCATTTGAGTCTTTGGTATCAGTGGCTATTAACCGTGGCAGGATAACCTTTGACATGTTTTTTTAAAAAAAGCTGCAATGGCTGGGCGCAGTGGATCACGCCTGTAATCCTAGCACTCTGGGAGGCCGAGGGGGTGGATAGCTCGAGGTCAGGAGTTCGAAACCAGCCTGAGCAAGAGCAAGACCCCATCTCTACTAAAAATAGAAAGGAATTAATTGGCCAACTAAAAATATATAGAAAAAATTAGCTGGGCATGGTGGCACATGCCTGTATTCCCAGTTACTTGAGAGGCTGAGGCAGGAGGATTGCCTGAGCCCAGGAGTTTGAGGTTGCTGTGAGCTAGGCTGATGCCACGGCACTCTAGCCTGGGCAACACAGTGAGACTGTTTCAAAAAAAAAAAGAAATGGTATTTGTGTAGACAGCAAGTTTACTCAAATCTTTGTGGAATTAAACACAAAAATCAAATTCCTTGGCTCTTTTCTAGATCTCTGTCTCCCTAACTCTTACATTTGAATGTTCTTCAGAGCTTGAAAGCAACTTTGCTTTTACCAAATATGATATCCCCTAGGCATGGCATTGAGAGTGAGATCTGTCTCTGTTACTGTTCTCATTTTGAAAAGGTCCAGTAAGTAAGAGGAGATACTTAACTATGGTAAGGAGGTTCTTTTTCAACACCTTTCTTTACTTTCCAGAATATCAGTAGCAGCCCATTAGCAGGTCCAGAGTGTGAGCACCCCAAAATCAAACCTTCCTCATCTGCCAATGCCATTTACTCTCTGGCTGCCAGGTAAGTTTGCTAAAGCTGTATTTCATACAGTGGAGTTGGTACTGGTAAACAGCTTACTGAGAGAAAATTTAGAAAACTCAGAGAAATATAAAGAAGAAAATAAAAATTGATCTCTATTTTTGTGTCATGTACAAGTGATCATATTTTATGTTTTGAAATATTTGCTTCCATTCTTTTTTCTATGTAGATGTATATAGATTGGTCTGGCTGGGGCTTGCCAATTTTATTAATCTTTTCCAATAAGCAAATTTGGTTTTGTTGTTGCTTAATGCTTATTGGATATCTACTTTCTGTTTTATTGTTCTTTATTCTTCTAGGTTTCTTTCTTTAATTTGGTGTTTTCTAGCTTCATAAGATGGATGTAGTCTATTTGGACTGCCATAACAAAGTACCACAGATTGGGTGGTTTAACTTGTGGAAATTTATTTTCTCACCATTCTGGAGGCTGGAGAAGTCAGATCAGGGTGCCCACCTGGTTGGTTTCTGGTGGGGGCTGTCTTCCTGCCTTGTGCTCGAACTAAGTCCATATATGGTCTTCCTTGGTGCGTGTGCATGGAGAGAGGGCGTGCTCACGAGCTGTCTGGGGTCTCTGCTTATAAGGGACACTAATACTATCAGATTGCGGTCCCATCCTTAATTACCTCCTTAGGGGCTCCATCTCCAAATGCAATCATCTCAGTATATTCAGGGGATTGGTTCCAGGACCCCCTCGTATACCAAAATTCACACATAATCCTGAAGTCAGTCCTGTGGAACCAGCGTATGTGAAAATTTGGCCCTCTCTGTACTGGGTTTGCATCCTGTGTACTGTATTTCTATCTGCATTTGGTTACTGATATGGAACCCATAGCTACAGAGGGCTGACTTTGTTCATTGAAAAAAAGTCCACATAAAGTGGACCCATGCATTCAAACCTGTGCTGTCAGCTGTATAGCCACACTGGAAGTTAGAGCTTTAATATATGGATTTGGGGAGGGGGAACACAAATGTTTGGTACATAACAGATGTTTAACTGTATTCTACAAATTTTGATATATCATATTTTCAATAATCATTCATTTCAAAACATACGCTTTTTCCATTTGTGATTTCATCTTTGATTCATGAGTTACTTGTGTGTTGCCTGATTTTCACACATTTGAAGATTTTCTAGTTATCGTTCTGCTTTTAGGCTTCATTACAATTGTGGTCAGAAACCACATTCTTTATAGACTAATTTATGGTAAAATCTAGTAATATATACCACTTACATTTCATAAGAATGTGTATTTTGAGTTTGTGTGTAGCATTCTATATATGTCAGTGAGGTCAAGTTTATTAATTATGTTGTATCTTCTATCTCCCTGATTTTTAAAAATCTACCCGTTCTATCAGATAACTGAGGAATATATTAAATTCTTTACCTTTAACTGTGAGTTTCTCTTTTTTCCTTTTAGTTCTGTTCATTTGTGTTTTATGTGTATTTAGCATACGTAGTTAGGTTACACAGACATTTAGAGTTACTGGTATTAAGTGGTAAGAGTTTATTATCATGAAATATCCCATTTACTCTGTAGTTTCACTTCTTGCCTGCCTTTCGTCTGCTTTGTCCTATATTAAAATGGCTACATCAGCTGTCTTTTAGGTAGTATTTGTATACTTTCAACTTTTCTTTTCCCTTATATGTAAGGTATGTCTCTCATAAGCAGTATATACTTGTTGGGTTTTATGGAGAGGGTGTGTCTTTTTTTTTTTGTCTTTTTTGAGGCAAAGTCTTGCTCTGTCACCCAGGAGGGAGTACAGTGGCGCAGTCATAGCTCACTATAACCTTGAACTCCTGCTGTCAACAATTCTCCTACCTCAGCCTCCCGAGTATCTAGGACTACAGGTGTGCACTACCACGCCTGGTTGATGCTTTGCTTTTTGTTGTTCAGGTTGGTCTGAAACTCCTGGCCTCAATCAGTCCTCCCACCTGGGCCTCTCAAAGTACTGGGATAATAGGCGTGAGCCACTGCACCTGGCCATGGTTTTTGTTTTTTTCGTAAATCCACTCTGGCAATCTTTTCTTAAAAGAATTGGAGTCGGCTGGGCGTGGTGGCTCAAGCCTGTAATCCTAGCACATTGGGAGGCCGAGGCGGGCGGATTGCTCAAGGGAGTTGAAACCAGCCTGAGCGAGACCCCATCTCTACAAAATAGAAATAAATTAATTGACCAACTAAAAATATATATAAAAATTAGCCGGGCATGGTGGTGCATGCCTGTAGTCCCAGCTACTCGGGAGCTGAGGCAGTAGGATCACTGAGCCCCAGAGATTGAGGTTGCTGTGAGCCAGGCTGACGCACGGCACTCACTCTAGCCTGGGCAACAAAGTGAGACCTCGTCTTCAAAAGAATTGAGTCTATTTGTCTAATTCTTTCCCACATTTTCCATTCATTTCTTGTTCATTTTTTCTCCTTTTTTTTGCTTTCCTTTCGATTAAGTATTTTATTATATCATTTCACCCCTCCTATTATATTAATTATTCTTTTAATAGTGACCCTAGAGATCCAATATGCACCTTGGCTTTCTAGGTATACTTTAATCTGCACCCTCAATAAACTCCTATGACTCTTGAGCCATGCATTAAGCATAGCCTGGAAGCTTCCATCTTGGGCATCTTTTATTATGCACCATAAGAATCATCATGTAATAGAAAGACTTGTACTCACTGCTCCCAGCCAGACCAACATATGCAATGCCCATGCATATATACTACTCCACCGCTGCACCTATATCTGACCATCCGGAGGAGATAAAACATATGCTAGCCATCGTGAGCGCTTAATACAAAATGACATCTATATTAACCGCTGCGTAGCCAGCCACAGTTCGCACACATGTGTGTTGACAGTCCACTTAAGTGTGGAAAGTCTACTCTAGTGCAAATGATTTTCCACAAGAAATTTCCTGTTGCTTGACTCGCGCCAATGAACATCACATTAGCTTTTCCATTGTAAAAGAGATGAATCACCCTTATAGTATAAAAGATTTAGTTGTTCTCATACAGTGATAGTAATATAACATAGTATACTGACTACAGTTAGAAATTATTCAATATATTATTATTCACTCATGAAAAAATAATGTTTTCTCTTAACTTGGATATTTAATCTTGATCCATTATTTCTGTTGGAATTAGCCCCAGTCTTAAAGTTGCTTCTTAACGGAGTAATATTCATACGCTCCTATTATACTGCTCTACGTTATCGCTACTATAAAAGATTTTCTGTCTCTTTGGTACATCCAGCAGAAACTCTTTATTCTGATGAAAATATTATTCTGTTATACCTTTGTTGTTCCCATACCTTATGCTTATATTTCATATATCTTCTCTTCTACAAGTGTTTTAGTATGAAATGGAAACAGTGTTTACTCGGAATTATTATAACTGATATAAATGATATTTTATATATTAACATCCGAGTATATTAGAGATAATAAATTTCATTCAGCTTGTTAACTACT